GGAAATGCTCAAAGGGAAGGGTTTGACATTTTCCATTCTCTCAGATGCAGTGCACACCCAGACAAACAATTTGTCTTTGGTAATGACCTCTTATTTCAGACATCATTTTTAAACTCTTATCATATTTTGAAACAGTTCTTGTTTAGAAGGATACTGGAAAAATCCATCTAAAAATTTCCCAGCGATTCTACAATCTGAGAAGTTCAAGTGGAAAGAAAACATATGAATACAAAACCTTTACTTTCTTTTACTTTGTATTTTGCTCAACACAAAGCAGCTGGTTTCTGTTAAATACCTTCCTTCTTGTGGCCTGTCCTTTTTTTTCTTTTCTTTTTTAAATCTCCTGACATCAGGATGACTTCAGGTTACATTTCTCTTCTGAGAATGGATTAAACAAAATTGATACGTGTAGCTTCAGGTAATGACAACACTCATAGGTATCCAAAGAACTGTTTCAAAGTCTGAAGTAATAAAGTGCTCATCACATCCACAGGGAATGTGGCAGGACGTAATGGGAGGAAATTGCAGCACAGGAGATTTAGGTGAGGCACAGGGGAAAATGTTCTGGCTGTAAGGAGAGGTAAAGCAGTAGAACAAATTGCCTTGGAGAGTGTGAAACCTCCATTTTCTGGTGGTTTCTCAGAGCAGGTGAGGCAGACACTCTCCAGATGGGTTTAAAGACAACCTCAACCTTCACTGGGCAGGGGTCACATTCTGGAAACCCCTTCCAATCCTGTTTCTCCAAGTCTGGCATTACTTTAACAGCCATGAGAGATGCAAAATTCTGCAGTATTTTCTGTTCTCTGAGCCCTGCTGGGCCCTTGCCAACAAGGTGAAAGCAGGATTCACCCTTTATCAGTAAAACTGTCCACTACAAACCCCTACCTGTCCTTTGTGCAGTAATTTAGACCAACACAAAGTTCCTTGATGTTCTTTTAAAGACAAAAAAAAAGCAACATCCCCCACAGACTTTTCCACCTCAACACTCAGTTACTCAAAGGAAACAAACACTCTTTTGCTGCCAAACAAGTCTAAATGTTTGAATTACTACACAACTTTAAAAAACCAGCCTGGAAATCTCCAATCCATCTCCCACACGGCCCTGCCTGCACCAGCACATTTCTCCTTGGCCAGCCTGGCCCCTGCAGCTCCCACCAGGGGATCCAGGAGGGATGATTACATGGAAGCTCCATGGATTCACAGATGATCACAGTGAGGGCTTCAAGTGCTGCCTCCAGCTCCCAGGGATAAAGGACTGGCACGGTGCATTCTGCTCAAACACCGCAGAACCAACCCTCTAACACCCCTGGCTTGTGAGGCAAGAGGAAAAAGAGGTTCCCTTCCCTCTGGGAACTGTTCCATGGGTCTGAACACAATTTGTAAGTAATTTCCAACTGTTCCTTGTCCCAGGGAGACAACAGATGCCAGATGGGCTGAGAAAAGTGAAGTGAGGAGCACAGCAGGACAACATTTAAGGTGTAATAAAGCAGCTGCTGTCGAATGCTGGCAGCAGGAGGCTGATAACAAAAAGACTCTTTTTTGGATTCTCAGGAGGGCAGTAACTCAGGGAAGGTACCTGGTGCCTTTTAGATGCCAGGAGTTTCCAAAACACCTGCACTGGTGGGACACACTCCTGGAGGAGCAGCTGCAAAGGGAGGCTGCCCTTGGCTGCCTGAAATGGCACTAAAGACAATCTTTTGGCCAATGAATCCCACCCAAGGACTTGGTTCTGATGGCAATTCCATTTGCTCCCCAAACAGTCCCACCCACACAGACACAGCTAATGCTGATCCTGAGGAATTCCCTAAGAGCAGTCCAGCTCCAGGGATATTTGGGACAGCCTTATGAACCAGGCTCTGCTTCACCCCTGCAGGCAGAGGAATAAGTTTAGCAGGCAAGTGGGAATTTCTTCCCTCTCAAGTCCTTCATGGTGAATTAAGTTTTTGAATCCCATCCCCACTGGTCACTTTGCCAAATCAACGCTCTCCTACTATTTCAGAAGGGGCCAGGGCCATTTTTGTGACTCTCCTAAATTACTTTGTTCTGCCATGAATACATTTGCTGCTTGATGTTCTTTTTAAAATGAAAATGGATATGAAAATTTACTCTAAAATGTACCTTGCTCATAAAACTTTTATTAAGTATTATTAGTGCTTAAGAGAAGGATTTAAGGTATTTGTGAAGCCAGGCTACAGGATCCCTTATATTAAAGGCAGTCTTATGCAAAGGAATGATTGATGCTGAGGAAAGGGACAGGTTGTTCCCCTCTCCACTGCTTTTCAAGCCCTCATTAAGGGCATTTCACTGGGAAGAAGCTCATGGTGCTTTTGGGATTTCAGATGGGAACAGGGGAAAGGGGGATGTTCCTCCTGTTCAGGCAGCCTCTCTCCAGAGGGTTTCCTATTACAGGCATCTTCCCTTTGTGGAAAACTTACATGGAAGGAGGGGGGAAAATGCCCAGCTTGCAAATCAGAATGTGACCCCAAATGGAAAAATCCTGCTTTACCTGATCACAGAATCCCAGACTGGTTGGGGTTGGAAGGGGTGTAAAGATCACCTCATTCCACCCCTTGCCATGTCCAGAGACACGTTCCACTGTCCCAGACTGCTCCAAACCCTGTCCAACCTGTCCTTGGACACTCTCTGGAATGGGGCAGCCACAGCTTCTCTGGACAAACTGTGCCAGGGCCTTGCCACCCACACAGAAATTAATTTATTCCAAATATCTAATCTAATCTAAACCTACTTCCTTTCAGGTTAAAACCGTCACCTCTTGCCCTGTCACTCCAGGCCATTGTCCCAAGTCCCTCTCCAGCTCTCCTGGAGCCCCTTTAGGTACTGGAAAGGGTTCTGAAGTGTCTCCAGAGCCTTCTCTTCTCCATCCCCAGCTCTCCCAGCCTCTCTTCTACCCTAAACCTACATAACTAAAAACCTCAGATCTTCCTGTCTAAACACAGTTCTGGAGTCATGGAAAGGGACTGATGGCTGCAAAAGTGACAGGAACATTATAAATGTCCTGATTTCTGTCAATAAAAGTTTCAGGCAGGAGCTTTAAACCCAGGGGCTTGTGTTTGGAGCTTTCCTTAAAATGCTACACCAAATATATGCAAAGCTTATCCTGTTATCTCAAACAGATCTCAAAAGTACTTTAACTTCCATAAAATAAATTGCTAAAGTGCAAAGGCTTCCCAAGCCATGGAAATAATGGCACCAGGCACTCCTCTAAATATTTATGTAATATCATTGCAGTCATTTTGCAAAATCCTTCACACAGGTATTAAAACATTAAGAGCTGCTCCTAACTCTTAGAGGGAATTTCTAACCATCATGAAAATTTCCCTTTCCAGTAAAACCCAGAGACCTTTTTCTTTGCTTTATTCCCACTATAAAAATCATTTAAAGCTCATAATCAGGGTCATCCAGGTGTATGAAAGATCTTCAGGATCATGTTTGTTATATACATCTTTTCCTGACTGTGCTGACAACTCTCAGAGGCAGGATTCCCTCTTAGGGTTTCCACAGCTCCTGATTTTATGGTTTAGTCATGCCAGAAGCTTTTCTCCTCTCTGCTTTCCTGTGTCCCACTTTTCTTCTGGACTGTGGGACTGTTGTGACATCTAGGGGTGCTCTGTAGTGAGTTTAGCACTGCCTGACTTCCCTGGCCCTGGCATTAATATGGAAATATGCTTGGCAGATAATTAGTGCTTTATTAATATTTGACATCAGGGCCTTTTAGCTGCCTTTTCCCTTTGGAAAGACAAACCTTTTCCACAGGTAATGTTGTGCCTGAGCAGCACCAGCAGCACATGGGACACAAGTTGTAGAAACCTGGGACAGTGTCTGATCCCCAGCTGTTTGGTCATTGCTATTTCTTGAGTAACTCCCCATATTTTTCTAAAGACTAAGCCAAGAAGAAAGATTTTTGGAAGGGGATGGGATTAGGAAGAATTCAAAATAAACCAGAATGATTTCTTGTATGAAATAGTTAAAAAAGAAAATGGTTCATTTGAAACCACATAAAACCAAAGCCACTCAAGCACTGTGAAGTGAATTGAGGAATGTCTATACATTTGCTTGGGTTGTTTGTGTTTTTTTTAATTTTACAACCAGTTCTTCAAGTTTTGCAGCCCAAAATTCTTGTGTCAGATGCCAGAGAAACAATTCAGAATTGTTTTTTTGAAGGAATCCCTGTTCTGACCAGAACTGGGCCTGATCATCTCCCTGCTTCTGCTGTTTTTCCATACTTCAGGTACTGCAGTATCTCTGATCCCACTCATACTGGCACAAAAAATTTCCCAGCAATTCATCTGAGACCTAAAATACTTTCACAGTATTTGTGAATGGGAAGGTTACCTGCATATTACCAACCCCAAAGCATACAAAAAGTTCAACATATGAGGTAAAAATCTAATTTTTTAAACATTTTTTTTCTATAGATGTTTCATATCATATGTGCATATGTACATCAACAACACAACAAAAAATCCAGGGGAAGAATTCCTAACCATACAGGAATTTAGCAAAAACCTGAAAACTCTCCAAATTACATTGTGCAATGCTTGATTTTGATTTCTTGGATTGCTATGAATGAGTTCAGAAAGAGAAATACCTTTCACTCACACTGCAATACCCAAAAAAAACCCATGTTTCCATGCACAGACCCACTGCAGAACTGGGCATTTATTTCAGAGCACTTGCAGCCTTTCTTTATGCAGTGTGAATCTTAAACAGCAAAAAGAACGGTAAGGTGAGAAATGCAAGCGAGGTATTATTTATCTCACCCACCTCTGCAAAGCAGCTCTTAAAAAATAAGTTTTATATGGTGTAAATTACTGCACAAACCTTAACACAGTAGAATCACATCCAGGCAATCTCTGGACCTAATTCCCTCTTTCTCACTTAATCTGGGCTCCATGACAAGTAAATCCACTGCAGCACAATGAGTTACATCAGAAAACAGCCTGAGATGAAAATCAAGTTGTGTGAATCATCTGGGAATATTTTGCCCTTCCACAGCTCATCAAGGAGCTTCACAACCTGAACATCCAGTGCTCCTAAACATGGTAAAATCCTTTCACACTCCCGAGGCAATAAAGGGAACAAAACAACACAAACAAGGAGCAATTTAAGCCCTTACCAAGATTATGACCCAAAATTAATCTATTAAAAAGAGTTGTGTGGAAAACACCGTGTCATCAATAACATTTTACACCAGAAGGCCTGGCAGATGGAAAAGTTCAGAACCAGTTTAATCAGCAACGTGCCCGTCTCTCAATTTTATCTTCCCAGGTATCAGCCTACATTCAGGAGGGGTTACACTCGTTCAAGCACACACAGTTTAATGATCAACCCGCGCCTCTGCCTCTCCTAAAATGAAGAGGGGTATAAATAGATCAAGTTCTGCAACTCAGAGAAGCCACAGAGCACAAGCTATCACTGGGAGAAGTCTCTGCCTCCTGAGCAGAGAACCAGGAGCAGGAAACATGAAGATCATTCCAGTTTTACTGTTCCTGGCCCCCCTGGCTCTCCCAGCTGGAGCTGACAAGGATTTTTTCTCCGTCGGTTCCGCCGGATCTCCCGAAACGAAATCGAGATTTGCGATGTTGGACGATGTCCGAATCCTGGCCAATGGACTCCTCCAGCTGGGCCACGGCCTCAAAGATTTTGTCCACAAGACCAAGGGCCAGATGAACGACATCTTTCAGAAACTCTACATTTTTGACAGGTCCTTTTACGAGCTCTCCCTGCAAACCAGCGAAATCAAGGAGGAAGAAGAACAGCTCCGGCAAACCACGGCCAGGCTGCAAATCAACAATGAGGAGATAAAGAACCTCTCACAGGAGATGAACCTGAAGATTGAAGACCTCATCCAAAACAAAATCCAGCTGCAGGAGCAAGTGTGGGGACTGGAGGACAAGGTCACCAAACTGGCCATTATCCAGCCTTTGGTGCAAGACACAAAAGAAATTTCTTCACTCAAAGTAAGTGACTTGTGAAAGGCCCTGACACACTGAGCCAAAATACACTCTAATGCCATCATCAGTAATTGTGCAATAGAAGCTCCTGCTTTCCCTTGCTCCTCACTGGAGTAATAGTCTGTATTTTGAAAAAGAAATCACTGTAATAACCTTAAAAAAAAAAATCGCTGTCTTACTCTGACACAGCCTTAATTTTGCAGTAAAATTCCCCAGCAAAATCAGTGAAAAATTGTGGAATTATAAAGCTCTGTACTATTTTCAGTATTTATTTGCAAATCAATTTTAAGGAATTTTGTAATCACAATGATAAAAAAGTTTTGCAATTGGGAAAATGACGAGATTCCCAAGCTCATGGGTTTTTACATCACCAGCTCATCCCAAATCAATGCAGTGGGAACTGCCTGCTCAGTGCAGAATTAAATCTTTAGAGGGGCATTTGCAGCACCTGTAGCACCTCCAGAACCAAAGAACCTTACAAGTGTTAACAAAATTAATATGTTAATCATGGAAGTAGCTAGGTGGGTGTAAGGTTTTCGATAGAAAAGGAAATATTAACTGTACTTTGTGGAAGTATAAAAAGGCCAAGCAATTTGTATGGGAAAATACTGGATGTTTGTGTCAAAGCAAAAAGATGAATCCTGATCTCTCAAATCCCAAGCTGATACCCTAAATGCTGGGAATTTTTCCCTACTTTGATCAGTGCCATATATCTAGTTTGAATCAAGGGCAGATTCCACAGAACGTAATTGTTCTGGATGTGAAAATGGAAGGAAAAGAGCAATTTAAAAAAAAAAGAGTCTACATATCTGTCAGTAGTTTGCCTCAAAAAAATGGGTGCTTGCTCCACAAGCAAAGGAATTTTTCAATTTAGAGGCAAAGCAGGCAAACCTCTGGAGCTGGACTTTGATGATCCTTGTGGGTCCCTTCCAGCTAGGGATACTCAAGGATTCTCTGGAAAAGGAAGGGCAGTGCTCAGTGGTTTGTGCCTCTCAAAACTGGCCCCAGGACAAGAGTTAGAGGCAGCACCACTGTTAAAGGTCTTCTGCTGCTCCTAACCCTGCTCCACCCTTCCCTCCCTGTCCTCAGGCTTTCATGGAGCAGCAGGACAATGACATCAAGCAGCTCCTCAAAACTGTGGAGGACCAGCACGTGCAGCTGGACAGGCAGCACAACCAGATCATGGAGCTGGAGGACAAGGTACAGGAACCACCGCTGCTTCTCCTTCCACCTCTCCTAACACTGAGGGAGCTGAGGGTCCAACCCTTGGGGTCAGGCACCCCTTGCTTGGTTTGGGGTGGAGAGGAAGGTGGGGACCACTTTGAGGTCCCTGTTTTGGGGAGAGGCTGCAGTGCTGCCAGGCAGGAGCTATGGCCAACAGCAGCTTTGAGAACTCAACACCAGGCTGCTGCATTTTCTGACTGCTAATTTGGGTTCTTCCCCCCTCTTATTATCTATCACATTATTGTTCTTCCATTACTCTGGAAGTCTCATTGCTTTCTACCTCTTTATTAATTTCCAAAATCCACTCCCAGAGTGGAAGTCCGGCATGTATCACTGAAATACAGTAAAACCAACATGCTCAGATTTCTTTTATTCTGAGAGGAAAATGCATTTCAGCCTAAGGAACTGTGGGTTCTGTCCTCCTTAGCTGTTGGTATTATTTGTCTAAGTGATGTCACCTGAGGAAATAAATCTGTTTGCCCATTAAGATGCACCACATGAGAAGGGGACATTTCCTCCCCTCATGAATCCTACCCTGTTGGAGCAGTGGCACAGTTGGCATTCCTACACCTAAAATCCACCAGAGTGGAGCTGAATTTATTTTTATGTGGTAAATTGGATATTCTACAGGATTACACTTGCAAGAAAAATTATTCTCTGCATGACATTGTCTTGATCTATGAATCTCATCATTCCAGAGCCTTGGGAAATTAACAGTGTAATTATGGCTCTTCCAGCTAAACTACATCGAGCTCCAGGAACTGGAGAATTCCTTCATGGAGGAGCACCAGGAACCAGAGCTCATCCCCTCTGCTGTGCACAAGCCCACGGCTGGGACATACAGGGCTGATGGTGAGAGCCCATCTCTGGGACGTGGCTACAGCACATGCTGCCCTCCCAGGATTCTCTGAGACAGCCTTGGAATGGTTTTTAGGAGTCAAAGACTAAAAGGAGAAGATTTTTATCTGGGCTGCAGGAAGGAACTAGATTTCCTTCTTTGGAAAAAATGTCATTATCTATTTAGCACCACTGCAGCTGTACTTGTCTCTGGGGTGACACACAGCAACAATGTCCAGAAGTGCAGTAACAGGATCCATTCCCCTCTTGTAAACATGCTGTGACCATGCTTTCACCCATGCCTATCTTGTGAGAATGAACAGAGAACTCATTTACTTCACACTGGCTAATTATAAGATTTAGCAGTCCTTTCTTTGAAGCTGAAAGGCACTGATGAAGCAGAGCAGTGGGCATGGTATTTTCTAGGAACTTCACAAGGGGTAGGAAAGCCCATTTGCCAGAGTCTAGTCTTAAGCCTTAGAAACTTTCCAAAATCCTCCAAATTGAAACCCTGCCTAACATAAGAACTGGACAGGCAGTCAGGCCTAGGTACACCTTGGCAGCTGCACTCCTATGTCCAAAGCAGCCTGCCCATTCCATGACATTTATTGTAAAAGTTACCAATAAGATCATTCCCATTTTTTCTCTTTAGCCCTCAGCTCAGCACTCCCCAAGCAGGATTTCTAACAGGCTGTTTGCTTCCCCAGGTGCTGCTGCTGACTGCACTGCTCTCTACCACACCGGGGTGCAGGCCAGTGGGGTCTACACTATTCAGCCCAATGGATCAGAAGCTTTCAATGTCTACTGTGAAATGAAATTTGGTAAGAGCTGTGCCAGCAACAGTCTGATTTTCACAGAAATATCTTCCTCTAAGCCAAACTTTGTCTCCCCACAAAAACTTATGATTTATGTCTCCTCTTGATTTCTCTTAGTGGCCTGTCTGCTCTGAACTCAGGTTTCCCATATCCTGAAATCTCCTTATCACTGCTCTCATTCTTTACTCCCCTCTTGTTTATACCGAGGAAAGGACATTCAATCATGTGACATAAATTAAGGATATCCAAATCCCAAGCCTCTTTAGCTGTAAGGAATGCAAATGGTCATTATAAAAGCTATTATAGGGCAACCATGAATGCATTTCCCAAAGAAAAGCAAACAGCTAACAATTTGCTTTTAAGAAAGTAAGATTTTGTTCATTAACAGGCTCTGTTTTAGACTGAGCTGTGCCAAACCAGCTCAGAGAAGTGAGTCCTGGGACAGGATTCCTGTGCCACGTTTGGGTGGCTCAGCAGCCAGGAACACGATTGTCACGTCACCTACCCCAGCTCCACCTTCCTAAGGAACCCAAGTTTGTTCCTTTTGCCACCAAGATCACCCACAGCTTGGCCATTGCCTCATTCCCTGCTTTCTCTGCATGCCCCAGAGCTGCTCTGTCCCACATCCCCTTCCTGCTGCCCTCAGAGGGCCGGGGAGCACGCGGGGCCACCTCACGTGTTTGGATGTGCAAACACAACTCACAGGGCTGCCCTCTGCAAAAAGCTCCTCTGCTTACATTTGGTGGAGCTGCTGAAGTGAGGGTGTCATGACCTGGGCTCAGGTCAGGAGAAGACCCCCCTGGAGCTGCAGCGTGGCCCCAGCACCTCATCCCTGCCCCGGAGCTGTGCCAGCAGCCAGGCGCTATCAGCACAGAGCCTGAGCCAATCTCTGGGGCTTTTCATATCTCTTCTTTATCAATTTCTCTGTCTCTCAGCCCTCATAAACAAGTGAAACCCAGTTAAGGCAGCCTAACAGAGTAATAATTCTGTGAGTGGAGTCACCCTGAGCGTGGCTGAGGGCACTTGAGCGGCCCTGAGCTCTCTCCAGTTGGGCTCTCTTGAATTCCCTTCATGAAGAGTTTAATTAACTCAAAATGGGAGCACCCCACAGCACACCCAGGGACAGGTAATGAGGCCAAGGCCAAGCTGTGACTTATTTCCCCTTTTCACAGGCACATCCTGGACTGTAATCCAGAAGAGAGTGGATGGATCATTGGATTTCAACCAAACTTGGGATGCCTACACAAATGGTTTTGGTGACCTCAATGGTAAATATCCCTTTTTTTTTGTGTCTCTTGGTATCAACTGATTTGAGAAGCTGAATCCTCTTATGGAAAGGAAAGCAGACTAAACCTGCAAATAACAGCTGAATCATGAGATTCTCAAAGACATCCCTTCAAATGTGTGTTTAGAAGCTGCATCAAGGCCAGAAAGCTTTAAACACTATTTTATCAAGATTTTACTACTTATAAAAGCACCTCCCAAAGCCTTTCAAATATACACAAAGGCAAAACCTCATGAAGTTGCTGTCACTACTTTCTCTGAACCTTCCTGCAATCCTGTTACCCTTAAAACCACACCAATTTTTCCAGCCTCAGGAGAGCCCAAGGCTGTGTGTGCTCCCCTGAGCCAACACCTCAGGCTTCTCCAGAGTGGCCAATCCCCTCCACGGCTGGATAGGGTGAAGAAACACCCACATTCCCCTGTTAATCATCAACTCCAAGGGATTTGTAGCACCAAGTGCTGCCCAACAGCTTCCTCATCCAGGATATTTTCCTTGTTGTTCTCATACGAGATGAGTGACTTTTTGTTCAGGAAATAATCTGACTTTCTAAGCACAGCACAGATCTAAACCTCACCAAGGTGAGAAGCAATATTGACTTATTTCCACATATTGTATAATAAAAAGCTGCTGTATCTCAGCCTTTGCCTCAGTTTTGGGACAGGAACTCACAGCTGAGGTAAAACTTTCACCTGTAAAGTTTATCTGATCCTGCTGGATGCTTTTTAGTGTCTCCTTGACTGGTGTGCCAATTCCCAAATACTGCACCAAGATACAGCCAAATGTTTTCAGCGTTGAGTTTTGCAGAGAATCTCACTGCTCTCAGCTATGTCCCACTCAGTGCTCTGCTGCATCTTCTGAGGTGATAAAGTAAACCAGGTTACAGCTCCTAACCTGGAAATTAGGGAGTATTTTCTTCAACCACATTGTTTTCTATGGCTTTAAATGCCAGCTGTGTGCATGGCACTCACATTCAGCCCCAATTTCTACATGTGGCAATTAACTGCGCTGATAATAAGCTACTTAATGAATATAATATATGAAACCAATTAAACTAATGATCAGAAATTCCAGCAAAAGAAAAATTCCCTTTGTAGATGAGGGTGTTGACACCCCAGTTTGGTTCTGCAGCTCTTTCCTCCCAAAATGCAACAATTGCCATTAGGTTTTATGTATGTCACTCGCTTCATTTGTCACACACTTCCAATTACACACCTTTTAAATGTCCCCAGCTCCCTCTCAGTTTCACACGAGGTGGGAAACTTAAAGGGGGAAGCTCCAGTTCATTTAGAACTCTTGCTTTTATTGATCATCAGTGTGCAATTAAGCAGAGGTAAACAAAAAGAATGTAGCAGCAGACCTCTGCAAAGATCAACAGTCCCCAAGACTCAAATCACCGAATTAATTAAAGCAATTAATAAAGCCTTTTAAATACTGTATTTTCACACATGCTACCTGCAGGTTTATCCCTAAAATCAAATTCAGCATCTCTTTTCTCCAACTTTGCAGAGGAATTCTGGCTGGGCCTGAAGAAGATCTACTCCATCACCAAGCAGGGCAACTACCTGCTGCGGATCGAGCTGCAGGACTGGCGGGGGAACAGGAGGCACATCGAGTACAGCTTCAGCCTGGGGGGCCCCAGCACCAACTTCACCCTGCAGCTGTCCAGGATGTCCGGGAGCATTCCCAACGCGCTCCCGGAGCACGCGGAGCTGCGCTTCTCCACCGCAGACCGGGCTGGGGACACGGCCAGCGACTCCAACTGCCCCGAGAAGCACCTAGGTATGGTCCCCACGTGCATGGCAGCTCCTCTGCTCCATGATCACTGCATCATGGAATGGTTTGGCTTGGAAGGGAGCTTAAAGCTCATCCTGTTTCAACCCTGACGCCTTCCACTGTCCCAGGCTGCCCCAAGCCCTGTGCAGTGTGGCCTTGACATTTCCAGGGATCCAGAGGAATCCACAGTCTCTCCAGACAACCTCTGCCAGCCCCTCACCACCCTCACAGGGAAGAATTTCTTCCCAATATCCCATCTAATCCAGCCCTCCTGTGCAAGTGACCAACACCAGAAACAGAATGGGCAGCACAGGCTGAAATAACCCCCAGGATGAGATCCCAAACTCTGAAGCAAAGGGCTGTCCCTCCTCTGACACCTGGTCTGCTGTGGCAGCCACAGGTTGGATTGTTTGATACCTTTCTGCAAAAAACCCAAAGACAAACTGACTTCTAACCCAGGCTACAACCCAAAAGTTAATGAGTGAGTTTCCACCCAAAGGAACATTTTAGCTGCTTGTCAAATACACTCAATATAATCACTCTCAAAAGAGCAAGAGATGCAAGGCTGAGGCCATTTCTCCTTGGAGATAACTTTGTTAAAGGGTTCTTAATTCTAATTTCCTAAAGCTTTTATGTTTGCCAGTCTAGAGCAGAAAGCAAACAACTGAAAGAGCAATTAAATTATTAAACCACGGGATACAAAAGTGTTCTCCAGCCACCTACTTCCTGCAACAAACACTTTGTACATCATCCTAGGCATCCTTGAAAATTGTGGATGCCTGAAAGAATGCCAAGAGGGTCCCCTTATACACAGGGAAGGGCCCCTCAGGACAAGGACATTGAGGGGCTGGAGTGTGTGCAGGACAGGGAATGGAGCTGGGAAGGGTCTGGAGCCCCAGGAGGGGCTGAGGGAGCTGGGAAAGGGGCTCAGCCTGGAGAAAACGAGGCTCAGGGGGCCCTTCTGGCTCTGCACAAGTCCCTGGCAGGAGGGGACAGCCGGGGGGGTTGTGCTCTGCTCCCAGGGAGCAGGAGGAGAGGGAACAACCCCAAGTTACACCAGGGGAGACTTAGATTGATAAGAGGGAAAATTCCTTTACAGAAACAACTGTACAGCCCTGGCACAACTGCCCAGGGTGATGGAATCCCCACCCCTGGAGGGATTTAAAATCCATGCAGATGTGGCATTTGGGGACATGGGGCAGTGGTGGCCTTGGCAGTGCTGGAGATGGTTGCACTCAGTAACTTTAGAGGACTTTCCCAACCCAAACAATTCAGTGATTTGGGAATCCTGGGTAAATGCCAATACAGCTAAAATTTAGGGTCTAAAGCAGATTTATGTTGCAAAGAGGAGCTGTTTACTCTGGCATAGAGCACAGACAATGTCTGACACTCCCACGTTGCTCCTCAGGAGGCTGGTGGCACAGCGACTGTGAGGAAACCAACCTGAACGGGAAATACGTCATGCCAAGGTCCAGGGGAAGGCTGGACAGAGGAAAAGGCTTATACTGGAAGCCTAAGAAAGGAAGATACTACCTGCTCAAGTCAACCAAAATAATGATCCACCCAACAGACTTAAAAATCTTTGACTGAGTGCTCAACCTGCTGCATTTTAACTCAGAACAAACACACTGAACTTTACCGCACCGAAGGACTTGATGCTGCGTTTACCAACAGATGCCACGTCCCTGCCCCATCCATCCCTGCATGGAATTTCTCCAAAACATAAACCTGAGGCATCTGAGACAGTCTTACAAAACAGTTGGTGAGTATTGTCATTCCCTCTAGCCCCGATGTCAACGTGCTGCAACTTTTCGTGGAGCTTTTCCCTCCCCAGGATGAAATTCTAATGCCTAGGAGCCAACCTGTCACATATTGGATGATACTGTTTGGGGGAATGGGTTTTCAGGCTGTGCATTCCTTTCTGGGTTGTGTAGTAAGGAAAACAAAAGGGGTTTTCTAGGAACAAAGGGCTGGCAAAACCCTACGGAAAACATTTAGAGGGAAAAAAAAAAGTAATTTTGTTTCTTGATGTAACTAATTGAATGTTTGGTTCATGTTTTTGTTGTGGAATGTTTTGGGAGCAATTGAAATTGGGTAATTCCTCGTTTTAGAGCTCTGGGTATTTCCAGATAATTTTCCAGGGGTGTAGCTGAGCCAATCCATCCTCTCTGGAGCACTGTGCTCACACAGCTGCAGGTGTGTGCACACGGGCAGGCACAGCAGCCCTGCTCCTTGGGATCCCAGAGTAACTGCACAACTCAAAGTGAAGAGCCAACCTTCAAACTCACTGCTCTCCCCACCTGAAATGAATCAGAGCCAAGCCTTTGTGACCTTTCAGTCCAACCAACAAAGGAATTAAATAAACAACCAAGTGAGAACACAACAAAACACCTTTCACTTAGGGTCCATCAGGGTCAAGGGTGCCAGCCCACAAACCCAGTAGGGCACAACCCATGGCACAGGGCTGGTCCAGCTCCTGGGGACACTCACGTGTTGAATTTCAGCTGCAGAACACTGAGTGACAGCCTTGGGCTGGCCCTGGAAGTGCTGACTGACAAAGCCCCCAGTCCTGCAGTTCCCCTGAGTCATATTGACTTGTTTATCTTCCCCAACCCTTGTACAGTGTGGATTTTTTATCTCAGCACCTGCAGTCGCACAGGAAATGGTTTTGGTTGTGATTTGTCAGCGTGAAACTCAGTGAACAGAATGTGTTAATTACAGAAATGCTGCAAAAAACCAAAAATCCTTTTACTTCTCATGGGTTTGTAACAGAGATGAGATTGTGCAGTGTTGTTTATTTGTACTGGTTTACTGTAATGTTAAACTATCTGTCCAATAAATAAATAGACAAATAAATAAATGGCTGGGATTTTTTCCAAGTACAGGATATGAAACTTGACAAAACCCTTATTGTAAACTTTGATTTATGAAAACCTGGCTTGTATCTAAATTTAAATAAATTTGCTATTTTTTTGAAATGACTCAGTTGATGAAGACAATTCCACTCAGACATGTAATGTCTTCAAAGATACTGTGAAAAAGCTTTAAATTAATAATGGTACATAATGAAAAGAAATCTGGTCCCAGCCTGGGTTTTGTTACAGAAAAATTACTGTTTCCCAAGATATTTAGAAAAATTTCCTATTTTCCAGGGCTTCAGAAGATTTTTTGTCAAGTATTGTAAATGAAGAAATTGCTTGGAAACCAAAATGGAAATAGGAACAAAGAGATTATATTTTTTCTCTATTTCTATCTCCCACTTTGAAGAGAAAAGAAAAAGTCACTGAAAGTGACATAAATTAATAAAATCAGTAGGAGAATGGTGACTCCAGCAAAGGAAAAACCCTACATAAAACTGAAAAGAATTGAACCAAATTCCACCCCGAATTCTGGGAATGGAGAAACCTCTCCTGTGTTCTTATTCACAGCCAGGTTTGATGTTTGTCCCTGCCCAGCTGAGCCTTTTCTGCTGTGTCAGCCTGAACCCTTCCCGTGCCTCTGGCACAGCACCTCTGCCCATAAACCAAATTTTGCAACAACCCCGCTGATAAGGGAGGAATTTCTACACTTGCCAGTCTTGGGCCCTGAAAAGCAAAATGGATTTCACAACTCTGACCTGTATGTGGTGTTTGGGACGTAGACATCCCTGGCAGGGAACTCCAGGATTTCTCTTGTAGGTCTGACTCTGCTGTCTGGGTAAAGCTTGACTTGCAGCAGCTCTGGGGTTAGGCAGTAGTGGGGGTTCTCTGGAGCTGGAGATATGTCAATCTTCAACTGAGCTGAAAGAAGAAAGGGGTTTTATGAATTAATAAATAGAAATTAATTTTTAAAAGCATAACTGTGCTTTGTTTCTTCAGGTTAATATCCTATATATTCATTGATATCCTATATATGAATTTAATAAATCAACAAATTATAAATTACATCTGAAGTGGCTTTGTTAACAAGTATCAGTGGATCCAGCTGATTTCTAAGGCAACTGAGGGACCAGATAATAAGAGCCAACAAAAAATATGCATCTTAACAGGGCATAGATGCTTTTTTCATAGGAAAACTGGGGAAATGCAGTCCAGATAATGCTTCTGTGAGGCCCAGCTCTTGTTACAAACAAAACTCCATCAGAGGAAAGGTTGAAAACCCCTGAGACTGGTCAGGCTACAAACCAGAGGTGAACTGGGTGAACTGATCACAACATTGAATGCTTGGAAGGTTGTGGTCACTGCCCAAGGCCTGGCAGACCAGATTCAGATTAATTTGCAGCAAGATAATTTTGCAAACTTTTCTTAAAACCTAACCTGGCTGCAAGGCCAGATGAGAGCTGGGGAGATGATCCAAGGAAGAGGCAGGATTGCTGTCCCTGGAGAGTTTTGAAGAGCAGGTTAAGTAAATATTGTCAGGAATAGCACAGGTCAGGGACCAGTTTCACTGAGATGTGCCAGGGTTTCTGTTTCCCTTTCTCAAACAGAGGTGGAGCCTGTTCCTATTAACCAGCAGTGGGAGCCAGGAGGGAGATCTCCTTTGGGATGGAGAGTGGGAAACAGAGGTTCCTGGGTTTGGGGTCTGCATCCTCCCCTCACTGACACCTCCCTCAGTGTGCCAGTGACAAACCTGCCCCGGAACACCTTCAGTGCTCCTGCTGTCCAGGGACTGCTCCCAGGGATTTCTTTGGGGGGGAAAATAACCAAACACCTGAACTTCTGAGCCCAGAAGGGCTGGCTGGATACCTGTGATGGGTCTGAGCCTGCGCAGCACCGATGAGGGACGTCTCATGTCAGCCAGGAACTTGTACAGGTCCTCATCGCTCAGGCGATCCCCCTCCTGCTCAGGGTGCAAGATTTGGTTACCCAAACAACCCTCCAGGGCTGCCAGAGAGTGAACAAACCCTCTCATCCACAGGCTCTTCCCTCTCACATCAAACTGCCTCTTCCCAGAACAAGGTGTTAACATTAACATGTTAAATTACACTTCATTTCTCCATCCTTTCCCCTTCCTTCGTCCCTTATTAATCATCCTGACAGCTGCAGGAACTTTTAATTGAAAGCCTTTTCTCTCCCCATCAATATTATCTTTTTCCAAACTGGAGATGGCTGCTGAAAGATTTCCCAAAAATACTCATTTTTTAGCAAAAGTAATAGTTTGAAAAAGTATCTGTCATTCAGGAGGTGATCCTCGTCCCTTCTCCTCTGCCTTTCCCTTGGGATGAGCCCAGAACAGCCTTAATTTTCAGGAAAAATAGGAAGTGCAAGGAGTCTTTCTTCCTTGTGCTCATTCTAGTAGCTCAGAGTTTTACTAACTTTGGAAATATTACAGAAAATGGGACTCTGCCACCTAAAAGCAGAAGATATCTGATTCTGAAGGTAAGAAATCACAATATTAAAAAAAAAAGCAAATGAAAGGTCAAAAACACTGGGTAGTGTTCAACTAATTATACTTAACAGGAGAAAAGAAAGATAAAAAAATCTGAAATTTAAAATCTTAAATTAATGTTTGGCAGTTTTTAAAGGACAAATTAAATAAAATTAGCTGCTTCAAAGTAAAAATAACCTCAACAAAGTAAATAAATACATGCTTTTATAAATTATTACTAACTTAGAGACCAATTTTTCCTTAACTAGAAGTGATATTAAGCAAATCTTAAAGGAAATTTTCAGCTCTTTACTTTTTGCTAAGCTTAACTAAAAAAATTTGCTCCCTTTAATCATGTTCTCCACTCCTCAGGAAAACCCCAAGCTCTGGCTAAGAGGAGCTGCCACTCAGCAGAGCAGCATCAGAAGCAGAATGCTTTGTTTTCCTCAGGGATCCCTGGATGTGTCCAGGATGCCAACCTTAAATCCATCTGAGGAATTGAATTCACTACTACCAGAATTAATATATTATATTATGTAATATATAACTGAAAAGAGAGTAGGTTTAGGTTAAATATTAGGGGAAACTTGTTCCCTAGGAGGGTGGGGAGGCCCTGGAATAGAATTTCCAGAGGAGCTGTGGCTGCCCCTGGATACCTGGAAGTGCCCAAGGTGATTTTGGAGCAACCTGGGCTAGAGGAAGGTGTCCCTGCCATGGCAGGGGTGGCACTGGATGGCCTCTAAGCTCCCTTCCAGCCCAAACCAATCTGTTATCCCCTGATAATTGAGATATACAGAACAAACCCACTGAATGCTGTTCAAAGGTTCCCTACAATTGGCAAACAGAAATCAAGCGCATCGCAAATTAATCACTCGGTGACCTCACACGATCCAGTCCTTCTGGCCAAGAAGTAACTCCTTAGTGAGACATTTTCATGCCACACCTGTTTGAAGAAGTTGGTCACTGTCAGGGTGGCTGGTCTGAAGCTGCTCAGGTTGCAAGCCTCGTCCCCACTCGTGGTCCTCTCCAAGGAACGCCGCCCCACGATGCTGGAGTTCCGCCTCTCCGACCACGACCCTTTACGTTCTGCAAAACACAGCGGTGAAAAGAAAAGGAATTAGAAAATAAAGCAGAAAAATTACAGTCCAAGAGATTACTTTTGCTCCAAGCAGGACTGTTTTCACAGGAGGAGAGGGAACAATGCCATGAGGTGACAGAAGAGGTGGTTACGCTCAGGCAATCCTGCTCTGGAGGCATCAGGAGGCTGTGGAGCACAGCTGAATCCTGCTCCCCTCCCAGCCACCTCACCCCAGTGCCTTCCTGCTGTTATAAAAGTCTTTATCATGCTGAGATTTATGTATTTCCCTTGCTCTGAAAGATGATGAAGTTGGCAGTTTTGGGGATGCTGAAGAGCAGTTTCGGATGAGCTATGTGGCTCACAAAGATTAATCCACTCCTTTGGAAAATGTTCATCAGCCTGTAATGCTCCCTCAGTCTCACAAGCCTGGTTTTAAATAATATAACAGATGGTTTGCTTGTAAAATCCTTGAAAGATAAATCCATTTGTTATCATGGACTTTTCTGTTTTAGTTCAGCCATGACCCCAGACCATCAGGGCAGGGGGAGGAAAGCCATAAAAGGAGCAACAGCAGCTACAGGATATGAACCAAAACCTCTGGATTTTCCACATTCCCTCCTGCAGACACCAAGTCCCGTACCTCCTGTGCCAACTTCAACTTCTGTGGAATCTCTTTCCAAGCTGCCAGCACTGCTCACAATGTTCATGAGGTGAATGGCTGTCCAGGCAAAAGGCATCCGGTACTTCCCGAGTCTTTGGCAAAACTGTTCTGCCTGGCCTTTCAGTTTTTCCAGCTTCTCCTTGTTCTGTGAAGGAAATATTCATTGCAAGAGGTTAAAAAGAGAGGGACAGAATCAGAGGTTTATTTAGCCAAATCAGTGAGGAGTGATGGGGTCTTTTCTAACTCCCAGTGGTTGTGTTTCAGTAGCAGCTTCCAGAGGAGGATCACCAAGTGTTGGGAAAATGCAACTTCTGCTTCCCAAAAGAGGCCAGCAGAGGACAGTCAGAACAGTCTTTTATGTTCTTCACCCTCCTGAACAGCCTGTCAAACCCCAGTGAGCTCATCTGCCCACTCCTCCTTCAAGAAAATCTGAAGTTTCCCCTGTGAAGTCTGGAAGGGCCTTTCCTAACGTGACTTTATGAAGCAGGTGCTCAGATCATCTGGAGTTGTGTGGGAAACTCAAACCATTCCCCAAATTAGTATCACACTCATTCTGTCAAGGAAAAAAAAGGAATAAATGAGGATTTTTCCATAGCTCTGCATATTAAAGAGCAATCTTTAGAGCTTCAAGGAGGAAATATTTTATTAAGAGGTTGATTAAAATTAACAAAGCATCCAAGCTTTTGAAAAAGCCTTAATGGAGAGGCTGGGATCACAGGAAGGGCTGGAACCTCTGCTGTGCCCTTCACCCTCATTATTACCCTTTGATCTCCAC